TGTGTGGGAATAGTTTTTTTTTTTTTTTTTTTTTTTTTTTGCTTTTGGTGACACAACAGTCTATAGCAAAACTTGACTGTTTCCTGCTGTGAAAATCAAGAAATCAAGAAATCAAGAATGTGGTTTGACTTACACTGCAGAGGAGGTCTGTACAGTGGACCAAAATGTACCTCCTGTCCCCGAGGGAGATGAACAAAATGTGCCTAGCATCATGCGTGGTATACACCACCACCATCTAGTGGTTTCCTTTTAACTTGATGGATAGCTGCTATACTGCAATTAAGCAGAATTAGTCGGGAAATTGGGGAAACTCTAATCTGTGATTGTTCTGTTTGTTTATTTAAGGAAGATATTCATAGAACAACACATCTGATTCTGTTGATAAGTCTGTCTCTGTTTACTAGCTGGAGCGGCTGTTTGAATGATCAGTGCAGAACTTGGACAATTCTAAAATGAAATGAGAAAGAAAACCACTTTTTATAAAAATTACTGAATGCAAAATACTTGGAAATAAGCTTCTTCTGTGAGACACACTTTCAAAATCAAGTGAAGCAGCTTTAAAAGGAGAACATTAAAAAAATGTGTCTTTTTTGGCATATTTCTTATGTTTTCATTTTATGGTTATTGAACAGATAAACTAACACTGGTAGATTTGAGAAAGAAGGATTTAAAGTCATCATCTTTAAGCTATCCTATTCAGGTACACGTTTGGTTTGTCATTTTTGCAAACGAATATCTTCAAATAAATTACCTAGTGCATGTAAAAATCCTGTGCTTTATATAATAGCATCAGGAGTGTGTTGTTCAAGGCTTAATCCAGTATATCCATGCAGAAAGTCTGTGAGGTCACTCTGGTTATAAAAGATGCGATTCAACTCATTTAACATTTGACATGTTGGAGTTTATGTCTAAATAATATAGTGGGCACCTCCACCAGTGACCTACTGAAATAGCAATTCATCCAACCTCTTCTGAGCATCCTGTTTTACGATAGGTCAGTCTCCTGTTGGAGATCTTCAGTCTCTGTCCAGTCTCTGTCCAGGAACTCTGATAAGTGTACTGGGTGAGATACCTGGTTTCAGGACAGGTAAGTGAAATGAGTCTTATGCAAAATAATAAAGACACAGTTATCAGAGAAGAGATATCACTGTTTGCTTTTCAGAGTCCAATTGAATATGTAAAAAGAAGCAAACTTTTATTGAAAAAAATTTTTTTTTCATTAGCAGTTGTTTCTTTAAACATCAAAACCAGTTGCTCTCTGATCTGCAGATGGGGTGATCTGTCTTCCAGGTTATAGAGATTATGTCTTGTTTCACGTACTGATGTGAATGATGGATGTTTTACATGGGCTTCAGGGATTCTTGAAGCCTTTCTCTTATTCTAAATAAAAGGTTTGGAAAGGCAGCAGAGAGGAATTCTGTTTCTCCTCTGTGTCTGGAAGACTGTTTATTCAGCTTGTGTGAATAAGAACTTCATTCTCACCTCTGCTCTCCCCACACCGTGGTCTTGGTGGGTACTGCTTGGAGCAGCCTAGATCYGGGATACCTTGTGTGTGTCTGCAAGGATAAGAGCAATGTGGCCACTTTGGCTCTTGCCCCTTTCCATGGGATCCTCTGTGACCCACTCCAGGGCTGTAGTGGGTGTCTTAGTGTATGTAGTAGATTCTTCTGTGGACCAAGGTGTGAAAACTGGAGAGACCCAAGTGGGGAAAGCACAATGTTAATGTCTTCTTYTGTGTTGTTTGCTTACTATCTCATATAAGATTAGTCTGAGAGCTCCTTCTTTGCCTCTCTTTCCCTGTTTTGATCTGCACTCAGCCTTCCTCACCCTGCCGCATGCTTTCATCTGTCTGTCTCCTGATCTACTRGCCCTGGCCATTGTACTGCCCTTATTGAAAATATTAGAGAGAAACCATGGGTCAGTGTAAACTGGTGTCACCCTAATGCTTTAGTGGAAGCATCAGCTGGGGATCTGTCCCATCATTCAAGGCAGGAGAATTTCCACAGCTTTGAACTGTTTTTTTTTTTCCCTGTTCTTTATCCACAGATCCTCACAAGATTTATTACCCTTGAGATAGCTCAAGTGGACACTAATAGAAAATGATTTTTTTTTTTGCAAGAGAGTGGAGGCCCAATCAGTGTCCAGCCGGTCTTTGACCTTCCTACTTAGGCATTTTAGCAGCATTACTGGTTCTGCAGATATGTTTTATTTTGCAGATACGATTGGCAATTAGACCAAGGCCAGGACCACCACCTCACACCATGTCAGCTACCAGACAGCTGTCAAGTATTAATGAGAAGAGTTTGCTACAATCAGAGCTGGATTAAAACTGCTGACCTACATGTGAAAGACTTTGTATCTCATTATCTGCAGCTCTTCACCCCAGATTTATTTGAAATTTAATACTGTTTTCTGTTTTGTACTTATTAATGATGTTGGCTGACTTCTGCCTGCTTCTGAATATTCAGTGAAGTGTCTGAGGATCAATATTCTATGGACCTCTCTTGCACTGCACAATTTTTACCCATCCTCATTTTAATTTTTAACTGGGATTGACCTTAAGAGACCTGGAAACTTGATAATAACCCAGGAGTAAGAAGCTCAAAGCCTTTTACATCTAGGTCACTACTAATAATCCAGTGGTGGTCATTAGAGCACTGATTAGAGCATACATCAGCTGTTTAGCAGCTGATGTAGGTTCTTTCAGTCCCATCCCTTGTGATCACAAAATAAAATTTGCTTTCACTTTTTTGATACTTTCTTAGACTGCAATAGGTACTTGTCTGATTAAGTGCAAAGCATTCAGTAAACTGCATGGTGACTGCAGTCATTCCCATGAAATGCCAACCAAATAAAGATCAGGTGTTAGAAACTTAAGATGTTCAAGGCTACCAGTACAGTTGAGATGCTGCCTTGCCATGTGCTTCCATTTTCAGGGAAGATTGTTGATRTGAAGGCCATGAAGAAAGCCTGCAGCTGCTGTATGTTTTCAGGGAAAACTGCATATTGAAGAATAAAGGTTCTAGGCAAGGATCCAAAGCAAGGACCTTGCCAGAGTTCAGTCTGCTTTTTAATCCACTCGCATACAAATTTTCCAGAGTGGTTCAGCAATTCACACGATCCCACTCCAACTCTTGGAGAAAGCAAATGAGACACACAATACACATGTGTAAGAGAGAAATTGCTGTGCTCAGGGTACTGCATAGGTTTTGCTAGTTAAAAAATACTGCAAAGGAACAGAGAAATGCTTTAAATTCTGTCATGCTTTGGCAAGAAGATGGATTTTATTGGCAGTGAGATTCTCTCCCCAAATGGCAATGCATAATTCAGTTTGTGGTTCAGTTAGTTCTATTGAAACTTTGTCTTTTTTTTTTTTTTTTTTCTGCTGTCAAAATACACTTAGAACAAAATCTTCAAGTGGAAGACAGGAAAGATTAAATTGTTCTTCTCTTTTGAAGTTAACCTGCAAGGAAACATTAGTGAAAGGGTCTTCTGCAGGTCTGTGCCATAGCCTAAGTGTATGTACTCCCAAAACAAGAGGACCACAGGCCTACAGCATCATTGTACAAGCTGAGGGGAATCTTCTTCATGATATCCTCAGTGTTTCCAGTGTCCATCTCCATGAAAATGGCCAGTACATTCAGTGCTACTGAGCCCTGCCAATTTGCTGGAGGTCATTTGGATCCTGCCTAGCTTTTGGCAGCCTAGAAACATCAGAGTATGTTAGACACAGGGGTAGTGTGAAACCAGCACTCAAGCTTGGAGGTTTCTAATTGGAGTTTCATGCTTCATTGTCTACTTCATCTCTGGACAATCTTTATTAAGTAAAGCTGAAAGCATGGCTTCAAAAGTACAATGTAAGTCAAGGAATGATGTGGTCTTAAAACATGGATGACGAAGGAAATGGTTGGGACCTGTTTGGAAACGTAACAGACCAGAAAAAAAAAAAAAAGAAAAAAAAGAAAAAAAAAAGAAAACCACTTCTCAGCTCATTGTTTGACCTGGCATTTGTTTCTAATGCTTAAAAACAAAAACCACTCTTTCCATGGAGAATCTGGAAGAGGATTTGATTTACAAACCAAGATCTCACCTGCTTTACATGGAAAAGCCTAATTCCTAGGCTTTTCAGAGCAGCCAGAAATTGCCGTGCCCTCCCACAAGAACGCTCTGGTTGCTGTCATGGCTCCATGGCTGTAGAAGAGAGCAGCCAAGCCAACTCTTTCCAGGGTCTGAAATGCAAAATCCGCTGGCTCTCACAGCTGTGTCTGGGTTTCTGGGGAGTGCTACGTGCCTGCATACCACACAGTGTGCACATGGTTAGACTGCCGCCTCCTCATGTCTACGTGCTGTGTAAGTAATGAAGCAATGAGCTTTGCACCTTTTGGTGTCCACGCAAACTATGTTGTACATGTGTGGTAGCCAATTACCTGGGAATTTSAGTTTTCCTGCTTAAAACAATTATTCTAGGCTGCTTTCCACCCCAAAAATGGGCCCCAAAAGGATTTTAAGGTGATAGGAAAGTTGCAAAATTGGTAGAGTTGCATGTGAGTTTTTTATGTATCATCATTCAAATTCAATTGTTTTTATTACCTGGCTTTGCAGGTACTGCAGTGTCCACCACTGTGAGCAGACTGTGGGATTAGACTAATGCTAGCAAAGCACTTTGGGGTCACTTCTATCTCTGCAGGTGTAAGAGCAGCTCTTATTAAAATTGAAAACCTGTTATTAACCACACATTTTATGAATTGGTATAGCTGGCTAAACCTACAGATTGTTGCTTTCCCTGAGGCAGCAGATCCTTTGATATCTGTGAAGGGAAACACACAAAATAGTTTGTTGTGGCTATAAAATGTACTCTGTCCTCTTGTGAAAACCCAGTCAGCTGCAGTATAGCGATAGGAATAGCCAAGGGTACATTTCAGTTCAAAAGTCAACATGTTCTGCCACTCTGTATAAATATAACATAGGTCAGTTGTTGCTTCAGAGTGACATCTCTGAGGGAGTGCACTCGTAGGACAACAGCATCAAATCTTTTCCTATTTATGTAATCAGGATAGGGAGAAAAAAATAAAAACAAAACAAAACAAAAAGAAAAACCAACTTATTTCCCTTGGCTCTGCAGTCATTCTGTATTCCAATCACTTCATCAGCTTGCTAAGTCGTACAGTCACAGTGTCAATGTGACAGCCTAACTCATATTTCAGCTTCATGACAAGTTTCAAACACATGATATCGTGACCTCAAACTTGCATCACATTCAAGTTTTCAGTGCCACACTATCACTTTCACTGTCATTTTATGTCAGTGGGTAGAATAGCATGTTAYATACTACAGATATTTATGAATTTTACTGGGAATTCAGTGGGGCTCAAATTAGTAATTCTCAAAAGGCTATAGGTAGGTCATCAATCAAGAGAACATGAGGAAATAACCCTTCATATTTCACATGKGAATTAAAATCGTCTGAGCTATTCATGTATTCAGTATATAGTCATGCAAGCCTTCATATCCAAACACATAATGGGATGGAGGCACTGAATTGAGAGGTGCCTATCTAAGTTAAACTGATTAGCTAGGCTATCCATGGAGTCACTAGGGAGAGTCAGACACCTCTACCTGCTATTATATGTCTGTCTTGRGATAGAGATATCATCCCATCAAGACGCAGCATCTGTTTCCGCTGATAAAAGAGAAGAAAACAGTGAACTCAGACTTGATGGTTGACTGTTAAACAACATCTGACAAACCATTTAAATGAATTAGAATTACCTTGCAAAAATGTTTTTTATCTTTTTTTTTTTTTTTTTCCCCAGCAAGCAGTGCTATCAGAGCTATCGAGTTCATATATTCAGTATATTCACAGCTGACAAACATAGGTATCTCTGTTCAGTTTAGATATCAGGATGGTCCATTGCTGAGTGGCAGTCAGAAATCTAAGTGACTAAGAGAAATAGGAAATATTTTTTCTATTTCATTGTGATTTTAGTTTTTTTTTTTCTTTTTGGTACGGTGGGGAGGGGAGAGTGTAGTGAAAGAAGTACTGATATTTAGATCCCCAGACAAGAGCTAGAAAAGATTAAGACCATTTCTTCTACCAATAGGGTTTTACCTGAACTTTGATGGTTTTCATCATCAACATGCCTGAAATTTGATGGTTTTCATCATCAACAACTGGGATAGCTGGAAAAATCTACCTTCTGCTGTGCTTGCTTTGAGTATGCTCTCATCATTCCTCAAATAAAAAGAGCCCAAGCCTGGACTCAGGGAGTCTTCAACGGGCAGACTTCTATGAAAACCCCTTGAGCTCTGGTAGCTTCCTCTGTGTTGCTGATCTGCTTAGACTGTAGTGGGACAGACTGAGCTGTTTCAGACAGACAGACTCTTTCTGATGCATGTGGAAGAAAGGAAGAACAGAGCTAGCTCAGCAAGCAGTACTTGTTAACATCTTCAGAGACTGAATTCCCTGACTGGTTTGCTGAAGGTCTTTGCCTGGATAGTATTGTCATCCTTAGATATTTGCTGTCACTAAGGTAATCCTCAAAGAAATTTGTCAGACACCTTTACAAGGAAGGCTGATTGCATCCTCATTTAATAACATGCTACCACATCTCTRTAAAAATCGCAGGCTTTGAAAAGAACTTCCTGTCCCATTTTATGGGAGCATGAACTCTAAAACTGACAAAATGCCAGCTCTGCTGTGTATTAAATAAGATGCCACGTGAAGTTTCTGCGAAAGCCAGTTGCATTCTGGAGACAGGTYCTTTAACACAGTGGTTGTTGCTGAGTGCCTCGATAGATTATGTCTGAAGCCTTTAGAGATTGACAGATCTTTGACCATCACAAATAATCTCTAAGCCAGGAATGTGGAAAAAAGCAATGCAATAGGAGGACAAATCCAGAAAAGTCCACATGCTGAAGAAGATGTCTACTTGTTATTTTTGTGTTAATGGCAGCTGATCTAGATGAAGCTTTATCAGGTTACCGTCATCTTGTTGGCTTTGATTTTTTATTTGAGAATTTAATACTTTGTGAGAATTAATTTTCATCCAGGATAAAATGTGATAAAATGTGTGAAATGCATGGGCTTACTGTTACCAGAAGTAACAAATCCCTACAGAGCATTATATCCATCAATTCATAGAGGAGCTGTAAAATGACTAGAAGATGTCAGGTACTGGGCCATATCTCCCAGCTGTAAATTGTAAAAGGGCATTTGAGGAATGGGCATTGCCAAGAGCAGTGATCCTGAGAGGATCCCTCTTGGCAAGCACAAACCAGCATCCTCTGGCAAGCGTAACAGTTTGGTCATGTTACTGTTACACCATTCATGTTGATAGGGTTTTTTTTAATTATTATTCATCTTTATTGACTCTGAGATCTGCTGCTGTCATTAGATAAAAAGCTACCTTATTGAAAGCCATGTATCCACCTTCCAATTCCTACCCCAATACTGATCTTTTCCGCTCTTCTTATTGTTACCGTATTTTGTATGTTCGTTAAAGATTGAGAAGCTGCTATTGTTTCTTCAAGAAAGCCTACCACCTGATTTTTTAACATGTTTACCAGAATATTTGGGGGAAAAAGTCTATTACTCATATCCGTTACTGAGTGTGGAAAAGCAACAATTTTTTTCCCAATATGAGCTAGTTACCATAATTATACTGCTGGGCAATTCAAATTGCATCAGCCTATGCTTCAAGCATATTTTTGAGCTAATGTTTATTAATGATAAACTTTGATTTGATGCATTCTTCTAAATATGCTTTGCTGTGTCTATGAATTGTCTTGTATGTTGCTTTTTGCAAGTGGATTTAGTTGGATTTACCAGTTCTTACATAATTTTTTAGTTGAAGGGAAAAATCCATATGGATCTGATTTAGAAGCATTTGGAAAATTGCATTCAGCGCTGTACAGAAGACATTAATATTACATTTGTCATTTCTAGAATTTTATGTACAGATAGAGTGCTATGGATATCTTCATCTGTCCTAGTGCACAGAGAGTAGTTTAATCAGAAGGAGAACATGTAACTACACTAAGTCTGTGTGATAAATGAAGCATCAAGGAATCAACATCAGAGAAGTGTGTTATCTAAGTGCCTTTTATTGTTTCTTCTTTTCAGCTGAATCCTAAATTATGTTATTGAAACGTTAGTCATTATACTGAAGTCAAATAGCGGACACAATGAGATGTCCTGATGATGGAAGTGTAGACATGGATAGAAACTTTCCAAAGGATGTATATTGATGTACATTTTGGGGTATATTTTGTTCGTGTTTTTAAAGATCATTTTTACTTAAAAGTTAATTTATTCTCTGCAGCTTTTAAAAATTTATTTTATCATTTTGTATGGCAGTTTAAGGCAGATCTTATTGCGTTTTAGAGGTAAATCATTTGTAGACTGAGCATATCAATAATTATAAGATCTTAAAGGGCCTGAGTTCATTCACCAATTTATCCATATCAAAAGAAGCTGTTTACTGTAGCTTTCTACCCCAGTGTAGTGTGTGTGTAGTGGTCATTTTCTTATGGCAAAATTTTAAAGATATGATGTGGTTAGGGATTTGAGTTACATAAGAAAGTCACTTCATTTCTTCTGACATCCAGCAGGCAGATGCAAGAGAAAAGGGCAGTCCTGCCTCTCACTTTCAGTACTTTTAATCAACAAACAGCATGCTTGGTTTTGTTCTAATACATTTACAGATTTCTCTAAAGTGGGCTCTTGTGGACCTGTTTAATACCTGGCAGAGTGGATAAAACCCTAGAAAACCTGTGGAATGTGATAATAGAAAAAGTTACTGTACTGAGGAAATAGAATCTGTGGGGTAATTTTCCTCCTCTGTACATCCAGTTCATTTAAATTAATCTCATAGATGGAAGTCTGCATCCCTTAGATCTTACTGGAACTGAAGAGATAAAACTGTGAAGAAGTATAATTTGCAGGATGATACTATCTTTTTTAGCTGGCCAGTTGCCTAAAAAACAGAAGCCTTTTGGAAATGTCTAGTACTGAGAATCGCTAGTATCAATATCCTTCACTGGCTGGTGATTTCATTCACTGCTAGCACTGCACTGAGGGGATAGCACCTCTGTACAAACACAGAGATTCATTTGGCCCACAGAGAGTTTTCTTTCTTCTTTCTATAGATGTGAGAGTACATACTATACGCTGAGAATTTTCCCCTTGCACCTTTTGCACTGGGAATGAGAACATAAAGCTCTTTTATAACTTGACACACATTCTTTTGAAAGCCTTTGTTCAAGGACCTCTGCCCTTGGGGAGTTGATCTGTAGACTAGTAGACCAGGGGGCCATGTACCCAAAAACTGTCACTATTTGGAAACCTGTTG